AATAGGAAAAAGCTGATAAATAATTTTTTTCAAAAAAATCTTTAAAAAATAATAAAATTAAAATTAAAAAGGCAGAATCAAGGCTTAGGGTACAAGATATTGGAATATTAAAGCTTTCTACACTACAGCATGAATTACAGGATGTGTGATACTATCTATATGAAAAAAGACAGCATTAATATCCAAAATCTACCATAAAAATAAAGTTATTCTAAGATAAAATTGAGCATATGTGATTTTTAAAGTTGTTTTAAGTAGAAAAAATTATAAAAACATGAGCACTCTGCAAGCATTCTCTTTTGATACAAAATTTAAATCTCAGTAGAAAACAAATCACCTATAAATTTATAATTCATTGATCACCATTGTTTACACATTGGTGTATTTATATCTAGACTTGTTTTCTCTGCCTAAATACTTATACAATATACTACATACATGTTTTTGTTTTATTACAAAATTATAATCATACTCTCTATATAAAGCTTTACGTACTACTCTTTTCATTTAACAAATGTTCCCATGTCATTAAAAATAAATGGAAACATGTTTTTGGCACTACAATATTTCAATTTACGTATACACCATAATTTGGCATTAGACTATTTCCAGTTTTTCATTATTACTAAAATGCCATAGTGATTATTTTTATATATAAATCTTTGAATCTGATCACCTTCTAGAAAGAAGTACCTAGGGGCGCCTTGGTGGCACAGTCAGTTGAGTGACTGACTCTTGGTTTCAGCTCAGATCCTGATCTGAGGGTCATGAAATAGAGCCCCAAGTGGGGCTCTGCACTCAGCATGGAGTCTGCTTGAGTTTCTGTCTCCCTCTCCCTCTGCCCCTCTCTACTGAGTGTTCTCTCTTTCTAATAAATAAATAATCTTTAAAAAAATATCTAGAAGTATGATTTCTAAGCTAAGGAATCTAAACTTTTTTTTTTTTTTAAAGATTTTATTTATTTGACAGAGAGAGACATAGTGAGAGCAGGAACACCAGCAGGGGGAGTAGGAGAGGGAGAAGCAGCCTTCCTGTGGAGCAGGGAGCCCGATAGGAATCTAAACATTTTTAAGAGTCCTGATATAAGATATTACTTTCCATTAAGATACTTATATGCCTCACCCGTAATCCACAGTATATGACAGTGTACCTCTAAAGTGTGTGTTTACATGTTTACCTCTCTAAAAAGACTATAAACTCCTGTGCAAACTCATGTTCATGTTATAGTCATCTTTGTAACCTGGTATCTACCACATAGTAAATACTACTTAAATGGCAACTGAATTACAGCACAGTGGCAAAACTACTCTCTGGGTGAAAAAGAATGAGAAATTCTCACTGGGAACATACTGTCCTACCTCTGTTGCTGAAGCAAAGGAATCAGTTGATGCAACACTCAAGGAGTCTCGAAGGCCAAATTCATCCATATTCCCCTTCATGGTGGTATCTGTATCTTTATCTTAAAAGTAAAAGAAGAAAAGTTAAGAAATTGATATTCCTTGTCACTGACATTCTATAGTAGGTCTGGTCTGGTCTTTTTCTTTCTTTCTTTCTTTCTTTCTTTCTTTCTTTCTTTCTCTCTTTCTCTCTTTCTTTTTCTTTTCTTTTCTTTCTTTTTTCTGTCTTTCTTTCTTTCTGTCATTATTTAGACTGGAACCTAAAAGAAAAACAGTAAATACAAACCAACGGGATATAATCTGATAAGATTCTCAAAGTGTATTCATTGTTTAACTGATTCTGAAACACTGCCAAGCAGAAGAGAAAGTACTATAAAGCAGATATTTTTTACTTTAAAAAGGGATTAAACTTAATATCAGATTTAACAAGCTTTTGGATATGTAATAATTTAAACTGGTATATAACTAGAGTTGGATTATCTGCCATACATTGTAAAATCAGCATATACCAGAGCAGTCTGAAACAGAGCAAATTAGTTGCAAGTGACCTTGCCCAAACTGTGAGAACGAGTAGATTCATTCAAATTCAATAAATTATTAACATAAAATGTTGTCTGGCCAGTCACTTGTGATAAACTGATCAGTTAAAACTATTCAAGAAGGTATCTCTAGGGATGCCAGGGTGGTTCATTGGTTAAGCAGCTGACTCCTGGTTTTGGCTCAGGTCATGATCCCAGGTCCTAGGATCAAGACCCAAGTTGGGTTCCGTGCTCACCAGGGAGTCTGCTATGGATTCTCTCTCCCTCTCCCTATGCTCATTCTCTCTCTCTCAGATATATATATAACATTATATATGTTTGATATATGTATCAAATCATCACACTGTACACCTTAAATTTATACATTATATATCAATGATATCTCAATAAAGCTGGAAACATTTTATAATGTTTATAATATATAATGTTATAATATAATATATTATATATATATATTTGTTCTTCAGTCCTTAAGGCTTACTTTAAAACACTGAAAGGCCAAAAACAATCAGAGCTAGGTCCCCGATGTTTACTCTGGCTACCTGAGGGTCAAATATAACCATCCCAATGATTATAAGGGCTGAAAAAATTTAAATACTTTGGCAAATGGTTTATCTGGCCATGCCAAGACAGTCTACCTATTAACATATGCAGCACTCTGATTGTGGGTATCAATGTCTTCACATACTATCATCAGGAATCTGTTAACATTGAGTTTTCAAATAAATACTGAACTTGCTTACAGATGTGTCTACATTGTAGCAAACAACTGATATCTTTTAAAATTTATCACAAGTATGAAAAAGCAAAGAACAAAATATATACTAATTTTTCTTACTGACCCTCAATCTGCTAAATTTGTCACTTTATCTTCTTTAAAAAGGAACCAGAGGGGTGGCCTGGGGCTCAGTCGTTAAGCATCTGCTTTCGGCTCAGGTCATGATCCCAGGGTCCTGGGATCGAGCCCTGCATCGGACTCCCTGCTCGGCAGGAAGCCTGCTTCTCCCTCCCCCACTCCCCCTGCTTGTGTTCCCTCTCTCATTGTGTCTCTTTCTATCAAATAAATAAATAAATAAAATCCTTAAAAAAATAAATAAATTAAAAAAAAATAAAAAGGAACCAGAAATCTCTTTTGCTTTCATTCATCCAAATTTCTATTCCATCATCATTTTCCCCAAAATAAAGTTCATTACCTTTACCAGAAATTTTCCAAGTCCTATTTAAAACACTCAAGTACCAGAAAACACGGACATTTGTGACTCTATACAGGAAATGTAGAGTTGTTTTTTTTTTTTTAAAGATTTTATTTATTTATTTGACAGAGACAGAGATAGCGAGAGCAGGAACACAAGCAGGGGGAGTGGGAGAGGGAGAAGCAGGCTTCCTGCCGAGCAGGGAGATCCCAGGACCCTGGGATCATGACCTGAGCCAAAGGCAGACGCTTAGACTGAGCCACCCAGGCGCCCGAGTTGTTTTTTGTTTTTTTTTTTAATGCAAACCATTAGTTTAGTTTAAACTCAAGTTTTGCAACCAATTTATATTCCACACTGTAAGCCAAGCAGAAAAGCAAATAAGCCATAACTGGTACAAAGTTCATTCCTATTAGGTATTGAAAATAAATATACATGTATTTTTTTTCCCCTACTTTATATTTAGGAGGCCTACATTTGACAATTTAACCATTTATCTTCCAAGTTTAAATTATAATTGTTTCCAGGGTTCCAGGGGTGCCTGGGTGGCTCAGTCATTAAGCGTCTGCCTTTGGCTCATGTCATGATCCCAGGGTCCTGGGATTGAGCCCTGCATTGGGCTCCTGCCCTGCCGGAAGCCTGCTTCTCCTTCTCCCACTCCCCCTGCTTGTGTTCCCTCTCTCGCTGTATCTCTCTCTGTCAAATAAATACATTTTAAAAAACCTTTTAAAAAAATTATAATTGTTTCCAGATGAAGGTTACATCAATCCTTTTAAAGTACCTAACTTCACAGCTTAAAATCGTTGTACCACTAAGTGAGTATTAATGGAACAAAATCAGAAGTTAAATTATTCTATTTTCAAAAATACATGTTCTTTTAGAAATTAAATTTTTCATTGAACTTGAGAACTAAACAACATAATTGGTTTTATGCTTATAAACAGCTATAAGATTGGTATTTTTGGACATTCAATTATCCAGAAAAATTCCCATTATTTTCTTTTCAGTGCACATATGATTTTTAAAAATGCGCACACAAACTTTGAGAGATAAATCATTTAAAAAATTGAACTGGCATTTACAACTTTCAAACCTTTATCTTCTTATTTTTCCATTGTTAGTATTAATTGTGCAAAATGAAGTCACAGTACAATTTTCATTATGCCAAACCACTTTTAAAGCAGGATTAAATTACAAGTCAATTAAGTTAAATCTTGGTTCCATAGGACTTTTGCTATTTTCAGAGTGGAACACAGACATTTATCTTATGTCACTTTACCTTTCAGACATTACCCATGAGTTGTTAAAAGTCTGTTTTACTTCACTCGACAGTAACCAACTAGTACTTTACTCAAAAAAACAAAACAAAACAAAACAAAAAACACAACACCCGGGCGCCTGGGTGGCTCAGTTGGTTAAGCGACTGCCTTCGGCTCAGGTCGTGATCCTGGAGTCCCGGGATCGAGTCCCGCATCGGGCTCCCTGCTCGGCAGAGAGTCTGCTTCTCCCTCTGACCCTCCTCCCTCTCATGCTCTCTGTCTCTCATTCTCTCTGTCTCAAATAAAGAAATAAAATCTTAAAAAAAAACAAAAACAAAAAAACACAACACCCTAACAAAGAAAAATGGCTCAGAGGAACTGGAAAGATTTATTCATTAAACATACTTTTGTAAACCACAGACCATACCTCTCATTTCAGTAATTGTTATGAGTCCTGGAATGGCAGCTTAAATTATGAAGGGAAATAATGTATCTATTTTTTTAGGTAAGCCAATAAAAAGTATAAAGAAAGAATACTGAGTAATATCTCAAACTACCTGCTTTCATGAATCAAATTAAATTTTAAAATACTCTTTCTAAAAAGTATAAATTCTTGATTGTGGTACTGAAAGAAAGGGACAGCATGGAAAACTGAAAACTAATGGCTTCATGTTAGTTAATATTTTCAGAAACATCTTACCACATTTTTCTTAGCAGAAAAACACAAAAACCACATTATCATTACACACCTGACAGAATAATATAAATTGGAAAAAATGGCAATTTTTTTTTGTTAAGGATGTACAGCAATGGAAACTCACATACCCCTGCTAGAAATGTCAATTGGTAGAACCACGTTGGAGAGTTTGGCAGTATCTCTGAAAGTTCAAGACTGCATTTTCTGTGATTAGCAATTCTATCCTTAGGTGTTTTTTACAGAAATACATGGTTATATATGCAAAAGAATGTTGGTAACAACACTACTTATAACAACTCCAAACTAGAAAAAAAAAAAACCCCACAATTGTCCATCTACCATAGAATACACAAACTGGGGTATATTCAAACAATGAAATACTATAAAACAATAAAAGTGAATGAATTACTGCTATATGCAAGAATAAGGATAAATTTCACATGTTGAGTGAAGAATTATACGTATAATTTCATTCATATAAAATCCAAAACAAGCAAAATTAAACTACAGTGATCAGGACTACATTTAGTTGATCAAACTGTAAGAAAAGCCAGGAGGTAATTAGCATGAGCATCAGGACAGTGGTTAGTTTTAGGTGTGTGGGGGAGGGGTGTTGACTGGGACCAGGTATAAGGGGACCTTCTAGAGAGTTGTCAATGTTTTACTTTTTTATTTTTATTTTTTTAAAAGATTTTGTTTTGGGGCGCCTGGGTGGTTCAGTCGGTTAAGCATCTGCCTTCAGCTCAAATCATGATCCCAGGACACACTGGGATCCTGCATCAGGCTCCCTGCTCAGCGGGGAGTCTGCTTCTCTCCCCTCTCTGTCTACCCCTCCCCCCTGCTCATGCTCTCTCTCTCTCTCTCAAATAAATAAAATCTTTAAAATTAAATAGAAGATTTTATTTTATTTTTAAAGATTTTATTTATTTATTTGACAGAGCACAAGCAGGAGGAGCAGCGGAGGGAGGGGGAGAAGCAGACTCTCCGCTAAGCAGGGAGCCCGATGCAAGACTCGATCCCAGGGCCCTGGGATCATGACCTCAGTGGGAGACAGACGTTTAACCAACTGAACCACCCAGGCGACCCAAAGATTTTATTTTTTAATTAGTCTCTATACCCAGTGTGGGTGGGGCTCAAACTCACAAATCTGAGATCAAGAGTCGCACGCTCCACCAACTGAGCCGGCCAGGTGCTCTGGCAGTTTTATTTTTTAAAGTATTTTTTTAAAGATTTTATTTATTTATATGAAGGAAAAAGAGAGAGCATGAACAGGGGGAGGGGCAAAGGGAGAGGGAGAAGCAGACTCTCCACTGAGCGGGGAGCCCTGGAGCCCAATGCAGGGCTGGATCCCAGGACCTCGAGGTCAGACGCTTAACC